AGAAAGAAAGAAAGAAAGAAAGAAAGAAAGAAAGAAAGAAAGAAAGAAAGAAAGAAAGAAAGAAAGAAAGAAAGAAAGAAAGAAAGAAAGAAAATTGAAAAGAAAAGACTGGTTCCACATTCCTGCAGCAACTGACTTGCTGCTGCCCCTCTCAAATGGGCGTCGGCTCTCCCATTCACCTGATCTTCCCAGCTCCTCATTGTCTTGCTCAGTTATATTATCTTGATCCTTGAAGGCATTTGAGGTTGCAGTCTGATTCAAATGGGGGACAAAACAAACAAGGAGTCAAAGATAAAGTAGTAAGGAGGAGCCATTAGGAGCTATGTCTGCCTTACTCACTTCCGTATCCTCAGTGCCTCAGACAGTACCTAATCCGTAACAGGAGTTCAACAAATCTCAGCTGGCTTTTAAATACAGATTTTGTATAATTGTATTTCACTGATTTTTAAGACATTATGAATTCAGAAAAGCACTCTGTTTAGGAAATGTGTTAGGTTGAAGAACTTTCTCAACTGACAAATTTTGAAGGTAGATGAGATAATGTTTGTGGTAGATGGATTTCTAAAATGATCCCCAACAATCCTCATCCTTCTGACTGTGGGTGGAACCTGCGAATATAATGAGACATCACTACTACAATTACGCTATGTTGTGTGAAGATTTTTTGGGAAGGGCCTAACATATACATATGAACCCTTTAAAAGCAGAGAATTTTCTGTAGATGGTTGCAGAAGACAAAGCCGGGATTCAAAGCACAAGAAGGATTCAGTGTACCATTACTGACTTGAAGATGAAGGGGCCACGTAGAAAGAACCCGAGAGTGGCTGCCGGGAGCCGAGAGCCAGCAAGAAAATGGTAACTTCAGTCCCACAACCATGAGGAAGTGAATTCTGCCAGCCACTTGAATGAGCGTGGAAACAGATTATTCTCGTCTAGATAAGAGCCTGCCTTAGGCCACACCTTGATTTTGGCTTTGTGAGACTCTAACCAGAAACCTATTTGACCCAGCCTAGGCAGAACTGTGAGCTAATGAGTGGATGCTGTATTAAGCTGCTATATTTGTAGTAATTTTGTATAAGGCAATAGAAAACTAATATAATGCTTTATACCTCAAGGAAGCTTACAGTGTATATGTACACATGTATACATATGTATTTATCATGTATTCACATGATATGTGCATTTAACTTGTCTGTATTCTCCTATATGTACTAGAGGAAAAGAAAGAAGAGAACAATAATTTAAACAACATGAACAATAACCCTACCTCGATTATCCCATTCTATAAGCCATCAGCAATATCGGAGAGAACGCACTCTCTTCTTGTAACACATTCTTCACATTGCCTAATGAAAAGCCTTCTTTTTTGGTTCTCCTCCCACCTCACTGGACACTTCTTTTCACGCCTTTGCAGATTTCTCTTTATCTTTCCTAATTCTAAACATTCCTACATACAATACACATACACATTACCTGACGTGGTAGCATAAACAATGTATATATACAGTTCTTTACAGGCAATTAAAAACTGTCCAAGGAACCAGGTTCAGTGGCTCATGCCTGTAATCTCAGAACCTTGAGAGGCTGAGGCGGACAGACCACTTGAGGTCCAGAATTTGAGATCACAGCCTGGTCAACATGATGAAACCCCGTCTCTACTAAAAATCCAAAAATTAGCCAGGCGTAGTAGCACACACCTATAATCCCAGCTACTCAGGAGGCTGAGGCAGGAGAATCCCTTGAACCCAGGAGGTGGAGGTTGCAGTGAGCCAAGATAGCACCAGTGCACTCCGGCCTGGGAAACAGAGCAAGACTCTATCTCAAAAAATAAATAAAAAGCTATTCAAAGGTAATTTTTTGACTATTCCTTGCTTAAGAAGAAACTTCGCTTTATCAGTTTTTCTCATCTAAAATTGGGAGGCACCCAGCTATTTCAGTATGAAATCAAGAGGAGTAGTGAATTAACCTTGCCTTCACATTGGATTTCTGCATTAACTCTGAACCTGTGCTGTCCAATCAGTCACATGTAGGGATTTCAATTTAAATTTAAATTTTAATTAATTAAAAATAAATAAAATTTAAAATTTAGTACTTCAGCTGCACTAGCCACATTTCAAGTGTCCAATAGTCAATGTGCTCCTTGCTGCCACATTAGAAAACACAGATATAGAGCATTGCCATCATCACAGGAAGTTCTATTGGACCATGAAAAGACCTATACCTTTAATTGCCATTTGGTCTGCTCCACTTAAATATCCTAAACTCATTGCTCTCCCCCAGAGGAGATTTTGCAAAGAAGTGATGTGAAAAGTGCCTTCTTTGGGATCAAATTGTCTGAGTTTGAATCCAACTCTATTGTTTGCAGGCTCTGTGATCTTAGGAGGGTTATTTATCTGTGCCTCAGTTTCCTTTTCTGCAAAGTGGGAATAATCACAGGAACTATCCCTTAAAGTTGTTGTGAAGATTAAATGATATAATTTATATAATGTACTTAAAATAGTACCTAACTCTTAAGTATTGAATAAATTTAGCTATTGTGTTTTGTATTAGTATTATTTTAGAGACCAAATTGAGATTCATCACACTTCATTTATCTGAAGATTCATGACATTTATTATTTCTGGACAATTTTCAGTCATTATCTTTTCAAATGTTGCCTTTCCTCAGTTCTTTTCTCTTTTCCGTTCTAGAATTCTGGTTGGACAGTCATTGTACCTTATCATTATATCTCTATAACTCTTATGTCAGTTTCCTTTTCTGTAAGATGATGATACAAACACTATCTACCTCGTGGAGTTTGTGTTAGGATTAAGTGAGTTGAGCTATGTAAAACACTTAGAATGGCATCATATGTGTGCCAACTATTATTGACACTCTGGTTTAGCTCCTTATTTATTTTTGGCCCTTGGAGATTTCCCTCTAATTTAGCCCACCCTATAAGATCAAAAGTTATTCCAGACTCTCTTTCTTTTTCTAGACGGAGTCTTGCTCTGTCGCCAGGCTGGAGAGCAGTGGCGCGATCTCGGCTCACTGCAACCTCCGCCTCCTAGGTTCAAGCGATTCTCCTGCCTCAGTCTCCCATGTAGCTGGGACTACAGGTGCACGCCACCATTCCTGGCTAATTTTTTGTATTTTAGTAGAGATGGGGTTTCACCAGGTTGGCCAGGATGGTCTCGATCTCCTGACCTCGTGATCTGCCCGCGTTGTCCTCCCAAAGTACTGGGATTACAGGCATGAGCCACCCTGCCCTGCCCAGATTCTCTTTTTGTTGCAAGCATGACATATACAGTTTCTATTGTTTGATACACTTTCTTTCCCTCTTAGCTCCCTTCATGACTGTTTAAGACACAATTTAATGTCTGTATTAGTTTGAAATATATTAAGTATGTAACAGAAAACCCAAAATAAGCATATCTTTAAAAAGTAGAAGTTTCTTTTTTTCCCCCATAAATGAAGTCTAGAAGTATGAGGTCCATAGCAGATATGCCTTCTCCATAATCATCAAGAGTCCAGTCTTTTTTCAGTTTCTCAAAATTTGGCCTTCTTGTGATCCAAGATAACTGCTCTGGTTCCAGCCATTACATCCAAATTCTAGTCAACAGAGGAAAGGGCTAAAGAAGAAATGCCTCTTCCCTTTAATACATTCCTGTGAAGTCATTCGTACCATTTCCTACGGCCAGAACATAATCACATGGCCGTGCGTAACGCCATGGGACACTGGAGAATGTCGTCTCTATTCTTGACCACCCACCAAATGCCAACGAGATACCAGATATTGGGGGAAACGAGCACTTTTTGCCACAATGCCTCTTCTATGTTCCCTCTAAGAGTGTGTATCCTCCCTATCTTTTTCACCTCTGGGGTGAATGACTTGGCCTGGTTTACCTGGGGCTTTTATGGAGTTAGCACTGAAAGTCTTGTGTCTCAAAACCTCCCAAACACACATCAGTCCTGGGCAAACTGGGATGATTGGCCACCCTGCATCACCTCTACCATGGATCGTATCACACCATGAGCTCCTTAAGGACAAATCTGTGTCTATTCACTGTCATATCTTTAGTATCTCACACAGGGCTGCACGTACAGGATGTATTCAATAAATAGCAAATATGTGGTGCTTCTATATGCCAGGAGCTGTTCTAAGGGTTTTATGTATATATCATGAGTTGAATTTTGTTCCCCCAACATTCCTATGTTAATGTGCCAGTACCTCAGAAGGTGACCCTATTTAGTATAGGGTTGCTGCCAATGTGACTGTTTAGTATAAAGTCATACTGAAATAGGGTGGGGCCCTAGTCCCATATGACTGGTGTCTATATAAACAGGGGAAATTTGGACACAGAGACAAGCATGCAGGGAGAACATCATGTGAAGATTTGAGTTAAAAAGCCAAGATTAAAAAGATTTGAGTTAAAAGCCAAGGACCTACCAGAAGCTAGAAGAGAAGCCTGGACCAGATCCTTCCCCAGAGCCTTCAGAGGGAACAGGACCCTCCCAGCACATTGATCTTGGACGTGTAGTCTCCAGAACTATGAGAAAATAAATATCAGTTGTTTAAGCCACTCAATTAGTGGTACTTTGTTATGGCAGCCTCAGCAAACCAATGCAACATATTAACTCATTTTAATCTTTACAACTTTCTTGTGAGATAGCTATTATTATTATTATCCTCATTTTACAATTGAAGAAATTGAGGCACACAGCAGTTAAGAAAACCAAAGAGTGCCAAGGAGGCATCAAGAGACAGTGGTAAAGGCAAACTGACGAGAGAAGGGAAGAAGAAAGGGGAAAAACTTGAAGTTAAAAGATGGACAGGAATCAAGAGAAAGAAAGAAAGAAAAATAGTGAAGGAAAAGGATTAAAACTTGACCTGCCATGACCTTCTAAGAACATTAGAAGCTCTGGGTTACTATATAAACCATTAACATTTTCTTTTTCAGATGTGTCACTAACATTTTTCTTTTTAGATGAGTCTGAAGAACTCTTCGAAATGAAGGAGTAAGGAAATGCTCCCTCGTTTTTGACACTTGCAGGCGTTTTATTATATTTCTAACCTGAAGCTACAGCTCTTAAGAGCCCTGGTCTTGATTTTGCAATATAGGCTTCATTTTTATTTGAGGGAAAGGACTAATAGCAACATGTTTTATGAATGTAACTCTGAGAAGTTTAGAATTTATGTTCACATGCTTTATAGATTTGTTTTTGATGGGTGAAATAACACTTTAAAAAGTTTTGGCTGGGTGTGGTGGCTCATGCCTATAATCCCAGCTCTTTGGGAAGCCGAGGCAGGCGGATCATGAGGTCAGGAGTTCAAGAGCAACGTGGCCAACATGGTGAAACTCCATCTCTACTAAAAATACAAAAATCAGCAGGGCATGGTGGCATGTGCCTGTAGTCCCAGCTACTCAGGAGGCTGAGGCAGGAGAATTGCTTGAACCTGGGAAGCGGAGGTTGCAGTGAGCCAAGATTGTGCCACTGCACTCCAGTCTGGGCAACAGAGCGAGATTCCATCTCAAAAAAAAAAAAAAAATGTTTTATATGTTGTACTTCTTACCTCTAGTTTATATATGTGTATTCCTGCTGAAGGCATAAATGAAGTGCAAAATCAGAGGTAATACCCTGAGAATATGGAGCTTAATCTTCCAGAATGCAGTATACACATTGTATCAGAGACCTTTACATGGTGCTGTATCTCCAGTCAGAATCTGTAAATCTGGGATCAGAGGGGTGGACCCAGGATTGGCTGCAGTTACAATCACTCCCAGTGGCCTACTGGGGACGTTTTGCTTCCGGGGCTCCATAGGGTTAGAGGTCCTGTTGCCAGCAGGGGCGCATGCTCACCAGAGGACGCAGCAAAGGTCCCATTGATTACAAACTATGGATGCCATCTGGGCACTGAGTTTCTTGTGACTAGGGGCCAGCAGGTAAGAAGACTAACCATCTTGGCAAAAATAATAACTCTGATCAACAGTGGGAGGTAAGACTGATCTTACACAATGGGAACAGGAGACATATGCATGGAACTCAAGATGACCCATTTGGGTGCTTCTTGGTTGTTGGTCCTCCCTTGATAGATCATAACTGTGAACAGGTAAGTGAAGCAACTCCCACCTGAGAAGGATATGATCACTAGGGGCTAAGAAAACTCACTAATGAAGGTTTGAGTCATACCACTAGATAAGCCGCCAAGACCAGCAGAGGTGGTGGCTGGGAGCAAGAGGAATTTAGATGGAGGGTGGAGAAGGGAGACTATACTGGAGGCCCTGAGACCAACTGCAGTGATGGAGGGTAACCTGAGCTATTCCCTGAACATGTATGGGAAAGAAGATTTGCATGATACAAGGAATAGATCTGCATGAAAGCTGAGGCAGACACTGAAGCTAGGAACTGTCAGCATATTGATATAGCATACCATATTCAGCATAACTGGGCAGCAAGGCTTTGTTGGTGGGAGATTTGAGTGGCACATCTCTTTATGTCTCCAACAGTGTCTGCCTCAGCTTTCATGCAGTCAAAGTCAATGACTGAGCAAGGTGGTGATTCAAGGGTCCACCTATTTACATTAAAAGTGGAATTCTGATCTTTATTCTAGAGCTTCCTGTTGGACTAGCAGAGGCTTTGTCAGGTCTGCATAGGGGTATGACAGTTCCCCTTGACCAATCTTTCTGTCTCCCTTGCTCCTTTCACAGGTGTTACCCTCTAAACTTTTGTACTAGAACTCTCTTTCAGCCCACTGGTTCCTGGAGAATCCCAAACCAGCACATGCTGCATAGCAAACAATCACAAAGCCTCACTGACATAAAACAGTAAGCACTTCTTACCACATACGCGTTTACAGGCCAGGCGGCAGTGGTTTTAGTCTTAGCTGGATCACTCAGGTGTCTGTGGTCATTTGTTGGTTAGATAAGCATTTCTGTTGATCTTAACTGGGTTCTTTCACATGTGTGGGAGTTGGTTGGCTACATGCTGGTCTAAAAAGCCTCAACTGGGACAGCTGACCTTTCCTTCACATAGTGTTGCATTCTTTAGCTGGCTCACGTTGGCTTGATCACATGGTGGTGGAAGGCATCTGATATGGTTTGGCTCTGTGTCCCACCCAAATCTCGTGTTAAATTGTAATTCCCAATGTTGGGGGAAGGACCTGGTGGGAAGTGATTAGATCATGGGGGCAGATTTCCCCCTTGCTGTTCTCATGATAGTGAGTTCTCATAAGATTTGGTTGTTTGAAAGTGTGAGCACTTCCCCCTTCATCCATCTCTTTCTCTCTCTCTCTCTCTCTCTCTGTCTGTCTGTCTCCCCCTCTCCCTCTCGCTCTCCCTCTCCCTCTCCTGCTGGCCATGTGAAGATATACTTACTTCCCCTTCACCTTCTGCCATGATTTTAAGTTTCCTGGGGCCTCCCCAGCCATGCTTCCTGTACAGCCTGCAGAACTGTGAGTCAATTAAACCTCTTTTCTTATAAATTATCCAGTCTCAGTAGTTCCTTATAGCAATGTGAGAGAACAGACTAATACATCATCCAAGAGAACAAACTGAAGCAAACAAGGCCTCTTCAGGTCTAGACTTGGAATTCACATACTGTCTTTTCTGCCATATTCTAAGGGCCAGCTCAGCTTCGTGGAGACAGGGAACCCCATTTTTTTTGTGTTTACTTTTTAGAGTCAGGGTTTCACTCAGCTACCTAGGCTAGAGTGCAGTGGTACAATCATAGCTCACTGCAGCCTCAAACTCCTGGGCTCAAGTGATCCTCTTGCCTCAGCCTCCTGAGTAGCTGGAATTTGGAACCACTTCTTGATGAAGAAGATGCAAATGTACGTTAGAAATGTATGAATAGAGGGGGGCATAAAGATTTTGGAACAGTTTTGCAATAATCTGCCACAGGGAGAATTTGCTAAAGTGGACAAACAGAATTATAGTGGACAAACAGAAATTATGGACAAACAGCACTGGACAAACAGAAACTATAGCTATCTCAATCTATTATACTGTACTTTTAGCTTTTCATTTATTTTTATTTTTATTTTTAATATAGGTTCTCACTGTGTCACTCAGGCTGGAGTGCAGTGGCAAAATTATAGCTCACTGCAGCCTCCAACTTCTGGGCTCAAGCAGTCTCCCAACTCAGCCTCCTGAGTAGTTGGGACTACAAGCACATGTCATCAGGCCCAACTAATTTTTTCTTTTTTAAATAGAGATGGCGTCTCACTATATTGCCCAGTCTGGCCTTGAACTCCTGCCCTTAAGCAATCCTTCCACCTTGTCCTCCCAAAGCATCGGGATTACAGGTGTGAGCCATGGAACCCAACCTGCTTTTATTTTATTTAATGAAAAATTAAAGGCAAATAGAAAATATGGAGAATAATATAATAACCACTCATGGACTCACTCTCCTACTTTAATCTTAAAATTCTGTCACGTGAAGAGCTAAAACTTTGGACATGCTGTAGTTTTAAAATCCATTGTATATCCCTGGCCTTCCTTCTTTTTTCTCCACTGAAGTCTGCAACTGTAAACTTTTAACTCCAGATAGTTACTTTTTAAGTTAAAAGCCTTGAGACTCATGCCTTCTGGTGATTCAGCAAGAAAAAATTGGAATTATGTTCATTCAGTCATTAAACAAATATTTATTGTGCTTCTATATGCTAAACACTGTACTACATATATATTTATATAGTATATTCTTATTTTTTATAGTGTTCTATTTGCAGACCATTTTGCTTCAGGTAAGATTATATATCTAAAGTGAGAAACCAAGAACATTGCCCTTTAAAATGGGGGCCCTTTTTCAATATCTCTTACAAAAAAATTCTTATACCTTCAAGCTTTGAGGGTGAATCTTGTTTTACTCTTAGGATGTAAATTTTCTTTCCAAGTTTCTTATCACTTTCCTTCTATGGGTTTGGCTCTTGTTGTGTCACTTGGGTGGGTAGGATGTTTGAGCATGTTTATTTAGTTACTAGTTGGCCACACCTTTAGTTTGATTTCATATGATTACATTGTTCTGGCTTGTAACTTCTATCTGGTTTCTCTTCCTCAGTATGATGACTTCAGAGTGCAGTCCTCTCCCTGGTTTGTTTTCTGTGCTTTTGCAGTGAACTAGTTATATCTTTTTAAAAAACAGCTTTATTTAGATATAATTCATGCACCCAAAATGTATCCCTTAGTATATTTACAAAATTGTGCAACCACCACCACTTCTGATTTTAGGATATTCTGATCACCTCAAAAAGAAACCTTATACCCATTGGCCATCACTCCCCATTCTCCCCTCCCCTGCAACCACCAACCTACATTTTGTCTCTATGGATTAGCCTATTCTGGACATTTCACATAAACAAGATCATAGGAATCTTTTGTCTCTGGCTTCTTTAACTTGGCATAATGTTTTCAAAGTTCATCCTTTTTTTTTTTTTTTTTTTTTTT